ACTAGTTTCAAATTTCTCAATAAAGCTTCTGAATTTAATTGAATTGAAAGCCTTTATTGTCATTGTATTTTTCTGCACACAATGAAATGAAGAGCACTGCTCCTGACTGGTGTAAGAAAACAAACATATAACCACAGACAATAAATAAGACTATAGACTATGTACAGTACAATTATAAAAGTATACAGGTGCATCTCAATAAATTATATCGTGGAAAAGTTAATTTATTTCAGTAATTCAGCTCAAATTGTGAAACTTGTGTATAGAATCTATGGGGTATTGTCAAGAGGAAAATGAGATACAAGAGACCAAAAAATGCACATGAGCTGAAGGCCACTGCCAAAGAAACCTGGGCTTCCATACCACCTCAGCAATGCCACAAACTGATCACATCCATGCCACGCCGAATTGAGGCAGTAATTAAAGCAAAAGGAGCCCCTACCAAGTATTGAGTACATGTACAGTAAATGAACATACTTTCCAGAAGGCCAACAATTCACAAAAAAATGTTTTTTTATTGGTCTTATGAAGTATTCTAATTTGTTGAGATAGTGAATTGGTGAGTTTTTGTTAAATGTGAGCCAAAATCATCACAATTAACAGAACCAAAGACTTAACATACTTCAGTCTGTGTGCATTGAAATTATTTAATACACAAGTTTCACAATTTGAGTTGAATTACTGAAATAAATTAACTTTTCCACGACATTATAATTTATTGAGATGCACCTGTATACAACAAGTCATAATATTGCACATTGAGTAATCTGAGTAAAGTGAGTATTGGCAGTACTGCACATTGACCTCTATATTGACATGAAACAGTAAGTATATACAAACATTACAAACTGAAATGGGTTAAGTGGCAGTAGTGATGAGTGACCAGATACATGCCACATCTAGTGCATTTGTTAAGTATCCACTTAGTACTGGTATTTTTGACACTTACGAGGCGAAGGGATAAGAACGCTTATGCTTACCGTTCTTCTAAAAACAATAACTAGAAGTTGTCCTGGCTCCTGCAGCTTTCTTTCCCTCTCTTATGGTTGCCAGGTTTTCACAGCAAAACCTGCCCAATTGCTACTCAAAACTAGCCCAATCGCTTTTCAGGGGGATTCCTGGTAAAAATCGCATTCCAGGGGATAAAATTATTTTTGGCGAGGTTCCCCTGGTAAAAGTTACATTACAAAATTCTTCTTACAAAATGTTATTCCTACTGATAGCATGTAATTATGCAATTTAATTGTCATTTCCTCATGATAATATTATGGATTATCAATATATATTTGTAGGCCCCTCTCATTAAGGGCCCCTGTTCCACTATTACCCCCTGTCAAACGCACCTGTGCACAAATTTCAAAACCAGATACAACAAATTAGTGAAATACTATCTTGAATCATTTAAAGCTGAATTGTTCAATCAGTTATTTAAAAAAGTGTGAATATGATGAAATGAAACGGACGCACGAAGTAATGTCCCCCCTTATTATTTTCCCTCCTCTGGACTCCAGTCCAGCGGGTGGCGCTAAAACACAGACGCTTGTTTACCAAACACCATTAAACCTCAGAGGAAGAAGATTAGTTTCACCCCTCCCCCGCTCTCTCTCGTGAAACCAACAAGGAAGTGACTTAAACTGTAATTCATCAACTGGCCGCTAGAGGCTGGCTGCAAAAGGGAGTCAATCCCATAGACTCCCCATGTTAAAATGCCCAATTTTACAGCAGAAAAAAACATGTTTACAGCCTGGTTAAAAAAATTATTTTGGTCTATATAGCTAATTTTGCCCTTCATGACAACTGTGAGGGGGGTGAATTTTTTTATAACTCATCCGTTTAAATTATATTAAGCCTTAAATTTCTGCATAATTAAGGGCGTGGCCACTTGAGTGACAGGTGAATTGACGCTGCTGACACTGCGGCGAGCTAGGTGGGCGTGGTTTCAGCAACCAGCTCCCGCCTTTTTGCCCATTTTCGATTATCCGGGAGTGACGCGCGGTGACGCACTGCCAAGATGGTGACGGCCCGCTCCGCCCACTTTTGGGTTTCAAAAACACTCTTCAGAACTCTACGGGTGACGTCACGGACATTACGTCCATGTTTTTATACAGTCTATTGTTTCATCGCGCTGTCTGTTGTTTTGTTGTGATGCTGGTTAAATACAAACTGTTAGAAATGTTGTTTCTGTAATAGAAAAATACTGTTTTTGAATCAGGTCAGTAAATACCTGTAATATTCTCATCCTCACAGTCGTGACTAAGTTTTGAAGCAAGCAGGAATATCTGGAGGAATATCAGCTGAAATGAGATCTGCTGCTGTGAAGATGGTGTTTGTTAAAGAGGAGAGTGAGGAGAACATGACTGAACCAGAAACCAGGAGAATAAAACAGGAGGAACCAGAAACCTGGAGAATAAAACAAGAGGAACCAGAAACCTGGACAATAAAACAGGAGGAACCAGAAACCTGGAGAATTAAACAAGAGGAACCAGAACCCAGGAGAATAAAACACGAGGAACCAGAAACCTGGAGAATAAAACACGAGGAACACGGAGGTTGGTGTTTATTCTTCGTGACTGTTTGTGGTACATAGGCTTACAAAGCTTTAATCCTCTGAGGTCTGATGGGGTTTTGGGGCCCTGGAGAAGTTTTGACATGCCCTGACATTTGTGCTTTTTTCAGTATCTTAAAAACACATTAATGACTAAAGTCTGATTACACTGTAATCAGCACAAACTGTGCTACAATAATACATGAGCAGCATGATTATAGCCCACATGTTTGTGTTTTTGAGAAAATAATGTTTATGTGTGGTTAGTGAAAAATACAATTTTCTAAAATTAAATAGTCACTAAAATAAGGCCATGAAACACATACATAACATTTGTTCACAAGACTTTTGAAAACTGGATGTGGTAGACTAGAGTTTTAAAACCCATTAACATCAAGTAATGTCTGGTACCAAAACTATTAATAGTATTCTATGAGCTTAGAAGATGACTGAGCAAAGCCAGAGAAGAGCAGAAGCAGGAGACGAAGTGATGAGGATAAAAAAAGAGCTAAGTTTATTGGAAAATCTTATTTGCATATGTTTCAGTGCTCAGACTTCATCTGACCATCACAAATCCAACAAGTAGTGTTACACCAAACACAATAACATCCCATAAACCTTGAGTTTTCATAAACATTCCCTCTTATCTCTTTTTGTCTCATTCAGACAAAACAGTTAATTAAACCTCACAATCATCAGATTAAGCAATGAAAATGCATAAACAAGGAAAATAAGAAATAAAAAATATATAAAACATCATGAAAAAATAAATGAATAATCAAATTATATAAATGGTAAATGATACAAAAAATAATCAAACAATAAATTACATAAATGGCTAATGATTCTAAACGATTATACGAATAACTGATTATAAATTAATAAAAAAATAAAATAAAAAGATAATTCAAATGTATGGTTGCTCTCTTGACGCAACACACAGATCCTCAGATCCATCGTGTTGTTGATCAAACATATTTAATAGCTCTCCCTTTAGAAACATGAGATTTGTGCCTATAATATTTTAAAAGTAATAATTTATGCCTGATGAAGGTCAGTGGACCGAAACTTTGCTTGTGCTTATAACAATAAATTGCAATATTTATCACATACTGATAGTGTGTGGGATTGCATTTTTTTATATATTTTGGAAAATTGGATTTTCCTACGCACCTATAATTTTTTTCAGGTGTGCTGAGTTTGTGTTGATTGAAAACTAATAATTTGAAAAGCAGTGTACCTCATTCATGGAAAGTTTCAGGGACGTATAATTTATCAAATTTAGGGCTGCAACAACTAATCGATAAAATTGATTATTATCGATTATGAAAATCATCGGCAACGATTCTCGTTATCGATTAATCGGGCGGCCCACAGTGCACGTCCAACGTAGTTTACATACTTGTCCAACTTCATCCTGTCGCGTCAAAGCACTGACTTATTTCTATTAACAAAATGCATCTAAAATAATGGAGGAAACAGAATGAGATGCTGCAGGAGAGTTACGTGATCCAAGCTAACTTGCCAAAAACATGAGAATTCTTTATTTTAAGCTTTAAGCTAATACATTAGCGTAATGGCTTGCCCTGTCAGGCGCTTTAACAGATGCGTGTGCGTCCTCGGTGCAAAAAAACTTTCAGTTAACGGTTATATCCTTATGTATAAATGTCACAAATTCACGCGAGCATTTCCATTTTTGTATAAAGGTCCGTCCTGACAGTCTGTGTTAAATTTTAATCTTTACTGAATGAGCGCCAGCGCGTCCGACAGACGGAAAACAGAGACAATTAATAATCAGCGCAAAAACATTAATTGTGCTGAAATATCTGTTGTTGAAAGTTAAATAAAGGTTTAAAGGTCAACATGCATTTCGCATATTTTATGAGAGTAGGAACTGTAAGGGGATAACAGCTTGTAATTGTCATGAATATAAATATCAGACGCTTCAAAACCGCTTTTAACAGGATAAAGAAATGACACTAAGCCCTATTCGGAATCCATGAGTTTTATCACTGAGGTGATAAGTACATTTATTTTTACAGACGTCCATATGAGAAACAATTACCGTCCGAATCGGGCTGTGACGTGACTGTGATCAAAGTGAACGTGTTCCTGCAGAACATTACTCTTACCTGTTGGTTAACACGGAGTTTGTGATTTTATTCGTCTTTATCATCTTTATTATTATTTTAAATTGTTAATGCAGAGATTTAAACTATATACAATGCCAATTAATCGATTATCAAAATAATCGATAGTAACAGCCCTAATAAAATTACATCAAAATGATCAAAAGTTTGTAATACAATCGTCTACTTTCCGCTGTTATGTCAGGGATCACTCTTTAACAAGTTAATGAAGATTTACTGTTTTTACTTTTGTTGCAGAGTTGATTGAAGATAATGAGGAGAAAGAAGAATTGAGTGAAGTTGAGGAGAAAAATCATGTCAAAAGTGGAGAAAAACCCAAACAGAAAGATTTAAATAAAAAAAGAGCCAAGGAATATTTCACCTGCACTCAGTGTGGAAAAAGTTTTACAAACAAACGTACTCTTGACCTTCACATGAGAGTTCACACTGGAGAGAAACTGTTCACATGTGATCAGTGCGGGAAGAGTTTCACACAATCATCAAGCCTTAAGATTCACATGAACATCCACACTGGAGAGAAACCGTGCACATGTGATCAGTGCCGGAAGAGTTTCACACACGCATCAACTCTTAAGAATCACATGAACATCCACACTGGAGAGAAACCGTGCACATGTGATCAGTGCCGGAAGAGTTTCACACACGCATCAACTCTTAAGAATCACATGAACATCCACACTGGAGAGAAACCGTGCACATGTGATCAGTGCCGGAAGAGTTTCACACACGCATCAACTCTTAAGAATCACATGAACATCCACACTGGAGAGAAACCGTGCACATGTGATCAGTGCCGGAAGAGTTTCACACACGCATCAACTCTTAAGAATCACATGAACATCCACACTGGAGGGAAACCGTACACATGTGATCAATGTGGGAAGAGTTTCACACACTCATCAACTCTTAAGAATCACATGAACATCCACACTGGAGAGAAACCGTACACATGTGATCAGTGCGGGAAGAGTTTCATACAAAAAGGACAACTTTCAGCACATACGAGAGTTCATACTGGAGAGAAACCATTCACTTGTGATCAGTGCGGGAAGAGTTTCACAAAATCAGCAAATCTTAAGGATCACATGAACATCCACACTGGAGAGAAACCGTACACATGCGATCAATGTGGCAAAACGTTTTTGTGGGCTTCAGTCCTGAAGAAACACCTGACGGTTCATACAAAGGAGAAGCCACATTCATGTTATTTATGTGGAAAGGGCTTTTCATGTCTACAAAATTTGGAAATACATCAGAAAATACATACTGGTGTGAGAGATTACATGTGCTTTGAGTGTGAAAAGACTTTTATTTCAGCAAACTGTTTAAAACAGCACCAGAGGATTCACTCTGGAGAAAAACTTTACAAGTGTTCACACTGTGACAAGAGATTCAGTCAGTCAGGAAGCCTGAAAACACATGAGAGGATTCACACTGGAGAGAAACCTTACAAGTGTCCACACTGTGACAAGAGATTCATTCAGGTATCACATCTGAAAATACATGAGAGGATCCACACTGGAGAGAGACCGTACAAGTGTTCACACTGTGACAAGAGATTCAGACGGTCAGAACACCTAAAAATACATGAGAGGATTCACACTGGAGTCAAATTTTATATGTGACCCTGGACCACAAAACCAGTCATAAAGGTCAATTAAAAAAAACTGAGATGTATCCATCATCTTAAAGCTGAATAAATAAGCTTTCCATTAATGTATGGAAAATACATATTGTTACGATAGGATAATATTTGGCCAAGATACAGCTATTTGAAAATCTGGAATATAAGGGTTAAAAAAAAATACAAAAAAATCAAAATATTGAGAAAGTCGCCTTTAAAGTTGTTCAAATGAAGTTCTTAGCAATGCATATTACTAATCAAAAAATAAGTTGAGCTATATTTACATGCACAATTTTTGATTCATTCGGACTGAATTAATTTCGATTGATGAATCTGATTGTAGTGCTTACATGAACGCTAAATAAAGTGATCGAGTTGATGTGCGCATTTATATGTCACAAGCTTCAAATCTAAACATTTTTTTGACATGTGCACACTGTACAAATAGCAGTGTAATAAAGCTCATCCTAGACTTGCTTTCATAGGTCCGTAATCTAAACCTGCTCAGGAGCAGCTTATTTTATGTAAACAGGATTAGATCACATCTTTTTAAGCAGAATTAACACGTAAAATCTGTCCCAACCACTGCTACTTTATTACAAGAGTACCCTATTGGTCCAGGGACAATAATTTAAAATGTTAACAATTTAAAAATTAATTTGAAAATAATATAATAATGTTGTGTTAGTCTTGCACACATGCAAGGGTATCAGACCGAATCAGACAATTTAGGATTCCATCAAGAACATGGTTGAAACACGAGGAGCCGAATTCCACAGAAAGGCCCAAGACACAGGATGTTCGTAAATCTGAACCTGGCGCCACAAGCCTGAAGCAAGTCCACCAACTAGCAGCTTTGAGTAGCTCACAGCATTTAAACAAAAGAACATGTTTACATCTCCAAGGAGATTTTGGGGCAAGTAATCAAGATTAATGGTCAAAAAATTGTGTATGTCTTTTTAATAACTATTGAATAACTTCATATTCATGTTTACTATGTGTGTGTTTGAATCTTCTTGCTTGAAACGTTTCTTCCAATCAATACTTTGTCAAATGTATCATATTCTTGTTATAGAAATCATGTTCAAAATTATACTCTGCAAGAGCGGGAAAACTCGGACCATGTGACTGATGAGATAACATTTGATTTATGAATTGGGAGGAGGAATATAGCAACACCCCAGCTAAGACAGTGTCTAATTGGTCAAAACACCATTTGGGATGTGTCCAAAAGCCCAGTTTAAATACTCATTTTAGCTTTTAGTTTTTGCTTTTTAGTCATGGCTTTTAACATGCTTTTTGCGTCTAGCTTTTAGTTTTTCGCTTTTAGTCATGTGCTTTCAAGTCACTTTTAGCCATGTGGCTTTTTAGTCATAGCTTTGAGCTATGCTTTTTAGTCATTGCCTTTTTTGCTCTGTAGCTTTTTTTGGTCATGTCTTCTAGCCGTGTTTTTCAGTCATCGCCTTTTGCGCTCTTTGAGCGTGCTCTGGCTTACATGCCAGCTCCTCCAAAACCATGAGGAGAAACGCCACCTAGTCTCGTCAAACTTTACATCTATTTCTTTATTTTAGTTTCTTTTCTTTTCCGTTGAGAGTTTCGTGTTCTGAGTTAAGTTGCCTAACGCCGTGTCTCCGAGTCTGACCTCGAGTGCCGTCTAAAACTTCAACCAGCCCACAACTCCGTATCGCCAGTCAACGCCCAACCACTGGCTCCCAAGACGTCACTTCAATGACTACTGAACTTCCAGCCAATCAGCAACCTCGGGAAACCCCCTTTTCGATGACAACAAAGGGAACCCCCACACACAGGCAACGCAAGTACCTCCAGATTCTAGCTGAACTGGTGCATTTAATATAAATTTTAACCTCATTAAGGAACTCAATGCGAGGGTTAATTAAGTGATTGATGGTTGTTCAGGTCTCTGCAATTGCACATATTGCTGTAAACTTGGGATTTCACATTTTCATTCTAGTTAACGTTATCGCATTTGACTGAAATTTTGTGACTTTGTTCACAAAGGGTATAACTACTTCTAAAACATTTTTTGCTCATTTTCATACTTTTCTGGGGGAGATTTTTCACTTTGTTACATTTGTGATGTTCCAGGGCAAAAATGACCCGGCCTCAAAAAAATGCTTATAAATCACTCATTATGCTATATTATCAACAAAGATTGGATTCAATCTTTTTGTCAACTTCTTTTCTTTCATTTAGTACTGGTTTTGTATTTATATTTGCATCTGATTAATCGTAGGCCTCATTTATCTGAGAGTAGGCACCTCATTTTTTGAGTGAAAAAAGCATTATGAATAATTTTCACAATATTAAATAAAAACATGAAAATGTATCACTGTTTATCACACTAGTGTGCTTTAATGTTTAATCAGAGTTTGCTTTTAAGCGCTTTTATTTTGTACAAAATGGCACAAAGTCACACTTGTGGTGTTCCCGGGGGAGTCGTGGCCTAATGGTTAGAGAGTCGGACTCGTAACCCAAAGGTTGTGGGTTTCGAGTCTTGTACCAGCGGGGATTGTAGGTGGGGGGAGTGAATGTACAGCGCTTTCTCCCATCTTCAATACCACGACTGAGGTGTCCTTGAGCAAGGCACCGAACCCCCAACTGCTCCCCGGGCGCCGCAGCATAAATGGCTGCCCACTGCTCCGGGGGTGTGTTCACAATGTGTGTGTGTGCACTTTGGATGGGTTAAATGCAGAGCACTAATTCCAAGTATGGGTCACGTCACTTTAAAAATGTCCAGCCATGGAACATATGAAATTATGAAACTATTAGAGTTCAGGAGCATGTTGATCATGTTCACGTTCACATATGTACGTGTGCTTGCAAACATAAAGGCCTTGGACCTGTTCATGTTTGGATGCATGCATACTCACGCTAACACACACACACACACACACACTTATACAAACTACTGGGAGTATTACAAGTTTTCGATTTCATCCTACCCTGAACTGCATCCAATATCATTTCATCAATCTGATAGTATATCTCTCTTTCTCTCTCTCTCACTCACCCCCCCACACACACACACACACACACGAACTGGCTTCACCCTGCTTCAAAATAATCTTTCTTTCATCTTCTTTCTTTCATCACACCTTCTATGACAATAGGTATTGAGGCTCACAAAGCAGACAAAAGTTTACTAATAAATGCTTTAGCACAAAGACAGAGCATATTAATATTGTTGAACCATGAAATGTTCTCGATGTGGCAGTGCTGTTTTTTCATGTCACAATGGTCAGATTTGTTGTTACATGACAATGTCTCTGTATGACAGTGCCGGTGTTATTTTTTTGTGACAGTGTAAACATTGGTTTGTTGTTCCATGAAAGGTTCTCTATATAAGAATCTTAAAGGGATAGTTCACCCAAAAATGAAAATTCTGTCATTAATTACTCACCTTCATGTCGTTCCAAATCTGTAAGACCCCCGTTCATCTTCGAAACACAAATTGAGATATTTTTGATGAATTTTGAGAGCTCTTTGACCCTCCCATAGACAGCAATGTAATTACCATGATCACGGTGCAGATGCGTAGCAAGGAGATCGGTAAAATAATCCATGTGACATCAGGGGTTCAACCGTAATATTACGAAACTACGAGAATACATTTTGTATGCAAAGAAAACAAATAATGACTTTATTCAACAATCTGTCTGCTACACGTCACCCTGGTGCCATTTTGGAGAATATCCACTGAACGCAAACTGCGTATGTTGTTCTGTGTCAGCTGCGGCTGTGCCCGCAGACCAGTCAGGTGCCCATACTGACCCCTGTCCACCGCCGAAAGCACCAACAGTGGGCACGTGAGCATCAGAACTGGGCATGGAGCAATGAAAGTAGGTGGCCTGGTCTGATGAATCATGCTTTCTTTTACATCACGTGGATGGCCAGGTGCGTATGCGTCGCTTACATGGGGCCAGGATGCACTTTGGGAAGAAGGCAAGCTGGCGGAGGCAGTGTGATGCTTTGGGAAACCTTGGGTCCTGCCATCCATGTGGATGTTACTTTGACACGTACTACATAAGCATTGTTGCAGACCATGTGCACTCTTTCATTGAAACGGTATTCCCTGGTGGCTGTGGCCTCTTCTGTGACAGGGATAATGCACCCTATCACAAAGCAAAAATGGTTCAGGAATGGTTTTAGGAGCACAACTAGTTTGAGGTGTTGACTCAGCCTCCAAATTCCCCAAATCTCCATCCAATCGAGCATCTGTGTGATGTGCTGAACAAACAAGTCCGATCCATGGAGGCCCCACCTCACAACTTACAGGACTTCAAGCGGTCCTATTATGCTTTTTCACTTTTTCAACTTTAGTTAGTCTGTAATGTTGCTGTTTGAGCATAAAAAAGATCTTCAAAGTTACAAAGCTCAAGTCCACTTAAAAAGAAAATATTTTATTTAACAGAAAACACTTTTCAAAAACTACAACGAACGACTCGTTTGGACTACAATGCATATTTTCACAAATATCGACGAATGGGACGAGACCTCGTTGAGCTGCACTAGAGAAGGCAACGAGTGTTATCACTATGTCGGAGACATGCTAGCTTTCCCAAGGCAGATTAACTTAGAGTGGTTATAATCATCCGGGTTTAAATCACGCTCAAATTTATTTGATTTTGACAATATTTACACTGAAACTCGCACGCTATGGTAAGGGGCATGACATTTCCCAACCAGGCGCCGAGTGCTGCCAACCACAACACACACTGGCCCAGCTAACCAATCACAGCACACACTGTCCCAGCTAACCAATCACAACACACACTGGCCCAGCTAACCAATAACAGCACATTTCGTATTTCAGAAGGCGGGCCTTTATTTGACACAGGAACTATTCGAGCCGTTCATGCCAGACTGGGGACAGAGGTGTTGTAATAATGTAAAATATGTGAAAAATAATGTGTTTTTTTAACAACCTTGAGAGCCTGTTCTAGTATGGTGAGCGTGATTTCACCAAGTACAACATGTTCCTGGATCAACATCCATGGAACAACAT